TATATCACCTAGTGAGATTTAGTGAACATCACATTATTTTTGTCCGTTCAAAATTTTTAACACGGTCACTGAAGTTTCGCTGGTCAAAATGTTCAGTGTTCACTATTCAGTGTTCAAAATCTGTTAAATTGATAAACATGTAACGTGTTTTCGACATGTGTGGCAATTTAACATTTATTGCCCGTTTTGTGACCTCTGAGGTTAAAATGGAAGTCATTATTGAATTTGGGGTCAAGTTTCCTGTTAAATTGACCTATATATGGCCTATGACCTTTAGATGACCTCTGAGGTCAAAATGAAGGTCACTATTGAATTCGTCGTTGAAAAATAGTTAAAAACGATGTGTCACATGTCAAGCACTTCACTTTTCGTCACTGTGACGACGTCTTCGTCACACGTGACGTCCAAACACAAAATGACATGAATTTTCGAAATCCTCGTTTAAAAATAGTTACAAATGATATGTCACATGTCAAAACTGACACGTGACACTTTTCGTCATTTTTAGTCACTGTGACGACGTTATCGTCGCAGGTGACGATGTCACAGTGTCCATCTTCGAACTCGCCCTATCCCTTGACGTTAGCAGTAAACGTTCAAAATTTCAGGTCGCTTGGTCTTTTCGGTTCAAAAGTTATCGGAGCTACGAACAGACAGACGGACAGACGGACATAACTATCTTACAAGGGCTTTCACCCAGGTAAGGAAAACCTCAAGGTTCTGATATTTATCTTCATAAACGCGGTTACCAGAAGATGGTTGGTAAACGCGTATACCAGAGACCTGTTCGTAAACGCGTTTACCAAAGGGACTTCTGTACATGCGACTACCCTACATGCGCTCTTAATTTTGGACAACTATTCGCGAGATCGCCGCCCTCAGCGTGGGTCTACCGGTGATCCACGGTAGTGGGGTAGCCAGGAGAGCCGTTGACAATTACTGCGACCGTGGGCAAGGACAAGACTGATAGATTGCGACGAAGATCTACCCAATCCAGGCAACTGCATAAATAAATCATCCTCCGAGTCTGGGGACGAAGACATTTGATCCCCTGGACCGTGCATGATTTATGTGCGGATAGACAGCATGATCTCCCCATAACCGTGCGATATCCAGCCTACACATATATAACGTAGTCTCATGCACAGAATTATATTTGAGGGACGCAATAACAACAGGATAAGCGGGCAGGCATAAGGGCAGGATTAGACCGTCCGGACCGGACCATATCCGGTTGACTCGGAGAGTCTTGATATCCGCAGCTGTCTGCATACAAAGATGCTTCTGGTAAACGCGTTTACGAACTAGCCTCTGGTAAACGCGTTTACGAAGCATCCTTTCATAAGCGTCTCGGTGTCATGGCCGGGGAACAGAGGTTGCTCAATTTGCGCATCATGGACAAGATTTTATGTGAATGCCTACTTTATTTCAAAGTTCTTGTTATGTGATTAAATTTACAGAGTAATGAAGGATAAGCGAGTAATAAAGTTTAATTCGTTAATATTGACATATGTTCTCGGACCGTCGCCAGAACTAAGCTTCTGCACGTAAAGTTGACCCGCATCACTAGTTTCTCCTGGGCCGCTTTGATCCTGGCTGCGGTTGATTGCACACGGGGGGTCGTTTCTGTGTTCGCGGAGCGGTAACATCCGGGGAGACGGACCCGCCTGAAACAACAAAAATGTTTTAGCCTACCGTCGTCGACTCATCTAAGCTTGCATCGGTAAAACTGGCTAACCTTGATCCATGTTCCCAGAAGTTGTTCCTCCGGCACTTCGACCAGCAGTAGACCGTGTAACCCTCCCCGAAGAACCTCCGGCAGAGTTTTCTCCTCGGTTTGGCGGGCAAGCGCTCCGTCCCGCGGTGTTCCCACGATCGGCTCCATCCCCAGCCCCTGGACGAGCGCCAACCTGCGCTGCTGGGCGAGAGCCTCCCCCTGCTGGTGGACGAGGGACAACCCGAGGAGGTGGGGGGGGGGGGGGTCATCGTCATCAGAGTCCTCCTCTCCGCCGCTAGAGTCGTCGTCGTCTGTCTCAGCTTCATCTACTTCTTGGGGGGGGGGGGCGCTGGAGGACGAGGAGGAGCGGGCCAGTTCACGAGTTCGATTTCGTCCATCCGGACAGGTTCCAACACAAGGGGCAGGAGAGGGGGAGGGACCTGAAAGTTATCGTGCAGGCACGGTAAAGTGAATCCGAGGATTGATATGCGTGAAACTTACTTCCTGGAGGACTTCATAGGTCTCCGGATCGACGTGAACCAAGCTTACTCGTTTCTTGCTGATACCTATCCCTTGGTTCGCTCGGATCCTCCCTGAAGGAATTATCACCTCCCGGCAGCTTCGTCGGTCTCATGGTTGCCAACAGCGGTAATATGTCGTCCGAGAGAAGCTTGGGTCGATTGAATACGACTGGCAGTCCCTCGTGGTGAGAGATCCAGTGCCGACGGATATCGGCGACAAACATACTCGACAAACATACTCGAGTACGGGCAGGTGGGGAATCCGCATGCGTGTGTCGTGGCCAGCAAGTCGTGCTCTCGGTTTAAGTGCGCGTTGAATGATGTGCGCTGCCCAAATGTGACCCCCGTGTTGCAGATAGGGCAGTACATCAGTCGCACGGCACCTTGCATCAGACGCTCACACCACAACCAGTAGAGGTGTTCCGACACGAACAAACCTCGCGTCTCCTGGGCCTTGATTTCTGCGAACAAAGTAAGCCAATTAACTCTGGACCCGGATGTATAGCAATATTTTCCCGCGATCACCCGGCAAGATCACGATTTAGGACGCTAGTCCAAAAGAAAGTGTCCGAGACCACGGTCTCTGCCACTAGGCACATCTACGAGATCTATGGCAGAGACTATATCATAGCTGCAATACAGGACCTGAACACGTACCCGAGACAATTAAGTCCAGCGCTCCGTCCACATCCACCGGGAGCTGGTGACCTGCGCCTCGCCTTAGCGCCAAAATTTGGACGGCCGCTTCATCCCTGACTTTTCGGGCCAGCACCGAGTGACATAGTTCTCCCCGGACTTCGGCAGGGGTCGGAATGACCCCAACCTCAACGTCTGGCAGGCGTGGAACGTTGTACTGATGCTCGTCCGGCAGATCGCGGTCACCCTCATCCTCCTGCATTCCGGCGTATTCTTGCCCACGGAGTGGCTCGGGGGCCAGATCCCGCATATCCTGAGGCACGAGCGCAGAGATATATACCCGCTGAGCCAGGGTAGGAGGCGGGAGTAGGTTGAGTGGTGATTTGCGCCACCTCGTCGGGATGAGTATCCTGCCCAAAATAACACTGATGTAAAATTTGCAACAACGCATCAGGCGCACGAGAGATCTTCAATCTAACTGCCTTTACGAGAGAACTATGCTTAGATGCATTTACAAACGGCAGCTTCGTACACGCTTTTACCAGACAGTAAGTCGTAAACGGATTAGAATCAAGATCTTAGGAGAGATATATACAATTATACCAGCACAGACGCCAGGTAGGATTCACATGGTTCCTGGTGGTGGAAGCAGTTTCTGGACTATGTAGTCGTCCTTCCAAGCGAACCCTGGCCAGTGGATCCGGTAGAGATCCTGGTTGCCCTCTCTTGACGAAGCAACGACGACCCCAAGTGAGACCTCGATCTCCTGGGCCCTCCCAGTAGCCAGGGTCCAGACCGCCTCATCCTGCCTGAATATGTGGTCCTCCCGGACCGGCAAGTCCGGCACCAAGATCTGCGGGCGCCGGTTCATGCGCCCCACGCACATTTTGCCGAGATCGAAGAGCTGAGGTCGGATGCCTGCATACAAACGAAACTTGTTTAAACATTTTTTTAAAGCAATTTCCATTTAAACATGGAGTCCCTCTTCACGATCTTAGATTTCCTTACCAGCCATGATGCAGAAGGATAGATGTTGTTGTTTGAGTAGTCGGACCTATCAGAAGGAAGTCCAGGAGTGGATCAAGGTCAGTCAGTGTAAGATTGAAGCGCGATTTGAGCTGTCTTTGGGACGAGGAGGAGGCTAAACCTTACGTGTCGAAGAGCAAATAAATAATGAGGGAGCTGAGGCGTTTGTGATCTGGTTCACGAGCCGGGTCGTAGGCAGGACAACCAATTATTAATTAATAACCAGACTCTAATTTTGATTGGCCAGTCAAAATACGCGTTGCTATAGATACTCTCCTCCGAGCACTTATTAACAGGGTAGAGTCTGTCGGTCCGACGTGTGTGACTCCTTTCACAGGCAATAACTGTTTCGACGGAACAGTAAATGATCGAGGCCGCGAGCCAGACTCCGAGCTGGGAGCAGGACACTACATGAGTCGCGTGCACTCAACGCCGAGAAGCTATAAACACAAACAGATGATCTCGCTCTATCTCAGAGTTAGATTGGGCAATTGACGGAGAGAGAATCTGGACCCAGAGATGTCTGAGACGTCACTTCTCCTCTGCCGGGCAGGAGAGGTAGTGTCAGCGGCACAAATTCTCTCTCCATCAACTGCCCATTCTAACACTGAGATAGACCGCTCTCATCTACTCAGCCCTGATCCTGATCGTACTCCCATGTAGTCTTCTCTCTCGAGTCACAGTTTTGTCTCCACCCGACGACTTCCATCGTGTTACACCTTCTTAACCCGGCTCGAAGATCTCGGAGGTGCCACCTCCGAGGTGGGCCAAATTTACACCGAGTTATTTCCTTTCCTCTATAAGCGGCACTCGGATACATAAGATCGATTCTTCTGTTAGAATCTATATTCTGTAGGTAGTACATACCTACATTAGCACAACTTTTGTAGTCACAGATTGTGTATGTACCACAACGTATAAAATACGCTGCCCTTCCCTGGGTTTAAATGCAGGTAAGGGTATGTATATATCATGAATGAAGGGATACCGATTCGAAAAGAAAAACTATAAATTTGGGTCTGCATTACCCTGCAGGGTAATCCTCAGAATAATTGCTGACAATATCATATCTTTACAAACATGTACAACACTTGCTTTATTCTTGGAAGGGAAAGTATATATGTAAATAAGCATACATATTGCAACGTATGTAACAGAGGCGTGAAAATTTATTTAACAAATAAGTATGTAAATCCGACATTTAAAAATCATATTTAATCATGTTAAATATTTTATGTTTTTTTTAAATTCCACTCGCGCACAGCCTCCTACCAGTAGGAATCGTACTGTAAAGTAAACAATAGTTGATTTCAGTTTCAAAGTTTACATCTCTCTCTAATAAGAATAATGTAGAACGAAAGTATGCAAATCTTACAATCATAAAGGACAAAACGGCAATGACGCCTTTAGTCGCAGGGCTTAGGGTCACAGGAAATTCGACCTTTGGACCTCGATCGTCCCCCCGTTCCTCCATCGTCCCCACGGTTTGACGACCCACCAAAATGTCGTACTTTACCATGCTGCTGCATAGGCCGGACCTGAAGCAGCAGCCCCCGCAGGCAATGTCCCCCTGTGGTTGGATGATAATATTTCTGGCGTCGAGGCAATTTGAGACAGTGATTCTCATGTTTGCCCAGGGACAACTGTTATCCGCCCATTCGATTTTTCCCAAAAGTTTGTCTCCCGAGCGGATGTTGCCTTTCTAGAAAAAAATTGTTGTATTTACGTGGGTAATTATAGAAAGGAAAATTTGATGCCTTTCTAAATGTTTGGAAGTATTTTGACGAAAGTTAATAGTTTTGAAAGTGGAAATACATACAACAGGAAGAGAAAATAATAAACGAGTTAAGGCTTAAGACAATGAGGGTATTCATTATAAGCTAGCAATGCTAACTTAGCGATGTCAGCAAAAAAAACAAAGTTCTCAATTTCGCAAAAAATGGCTCGGAAATTCATTTTCGAAATTCTTTAATTTTGTTCGCCAGTTTTTTTAAATGATGTTGCGATGTGAGCATGCGAACTCGTAATGAATATCCCTAATGTATATATTGGAACAATTGGTGGTAAATAGCATTTTTTTTAATTTCCCAGAATTTTATGGAAAAATTTAGAATTCTAAATATTGGTTTATGGGCCTTAGATTAGCTAGAATATTATTTATAGGTATCTTATGTTGTCGTTTAAACGATTTTAAATGAGTTTAAATACTCACTTCAAATATTTTCTAAGGGACTAACTATAAATTTTGTAATAAATTTAGAGACTGTAACTATTGGGTAACATAAATCCGGATAATAGAAATATTGAATATTTTTGAATTCAAATTTAAAATTGTACATAGATATTACCAAATCAACCGCTATGAATTCTACGCCACCCTTGTCATAAAACCCCATTGTGGCCAGATGATGATGCCCATCGGTCCCGGCTGGCACACCGGAAACAATAACTTTTTGGCCGTACGAAAATATCTCTTGTTTCCCAGCGTCGACGGCCAGTCGACTGGATGATCCTACGGTCCTATCAATTTATTAGAATTGTTTAACCTGTTTCGTACTACTTCTGTACTACCACTGCATCTGTGGGTATGAAATGTGTAGGTATTAAGTGTGCAGGGTATGTTCTGTGGAGAGATTAAGTGTGGGGGGATGAAATATGTAGGGTATGATCTGTGAAGGGGATGAACTGTGGGGGGATGTACAAGGGAACATACCGAGGTGTCCAACAAATTAAGGGTCAACACCTATACCAAAATGACCACGATATATGACTTGTTAGATCGACTGAACGAATTTCTGTGTAAAATTCACTTTTCGTCAAGTTGGGACGATATTTGTGACGAGCGTATGACCATCGGCTTGCCCGCTGGAAAGGTCGGCCGATGAACGATCAGGTCGAACACATGTTGTCTTCAGACATTACAATTTTTTAGAATTAAAAAAAATTGCACACCTCAATTTTCAAAATTTCACATAATTTGATCAAAATTCCAAATTTTTTAAAAATTTAAAATTTTTTTAAAAATTCAAAAACATTCAAAATTTCAAATTTTTATAAAAATATAATTTTGTCAAACTTTCATAATTTGCTCAAAACTTAAGATTTTTTTAAATTCGAAAAAAATTGAAATGTCTGAAGACAACATGTGTTCGGCTTGACCGTTCAGCGGCCGACCTCTCCCGCTGTATCGTGGTCATTTTAGTATAGGTGTCGACCCTTAACTCGTTGGACACCTCGGTATGTTCCCTTGTTAGAAATATGGTATACATAGTCAGGCATGCATTGATTTCCAGGAATTAAAGTTTCTATACTCCGCTTGACTATATAATTGTACCGATCCATTATAGATTTGCTACCGATATGATAAAATTTTACTACTTGGGACTACGTATCAACACTACCTTGTTCGCGTTACGTCTTTATGAATACCGCTTGGTATTAATTTAATACTGGATTTCAAAGAGTGTGGTTAAATTCAATTCATTACCTGACTTTTTCTTGATGTAAAAAGAGTCAATTTTTTCAAGCTCTTTGAGGTTTCCGTCCGCATTTGTGGTGACATGTACACCTGGCTGTATTTCTATGACTCTGTCCATCTCGACAGTTTGGACGTTATCGAAATCTTGACAAGTGTAATTTGACAGAGTATTTGATTTTAAAATAAATATGTATAAATACGCATATTTAATAAAATATATATGCATGTGTCCACCTACCAGATTTGTTTATTAACTTTGGAATATGTGTGTAGGTGACGTGCTCACTGCAACTATATACATATGTACTTACAGAATTCTGACAAGGACGAAACTCGATTCGTTATCTTTATCGGATTAGTTACGTTACATACGTAGTCGTAAATATTTATTGTTTTGTATTTCAGTAAGATAAAAAAGAATGTTTTGCTGACAAAGATTTAAGCGCTTTGTCCACTTACTTGGTATAAAAAATTGGAGTGAAATATCCAACTACTTTTTGTCGTCATTTAACCAATGATCCATTAAGGTCGGCCACCAACGTGGAGTAATTGTCGATTGAAATTTGACAGGGTTAAGCCAGCGTTTTTAATTTTCCTTGATTGCTACTCCATTATTTAGAATGGAATCAAAATTTTGATATGTGCAAAATATATTTTTGAGAATTTAATTGACACGTTAAGTCTATTCAGCACAACTTAACTTCAGAAATGCAACAACGTTGACTAAATGCCAAATGAGTCTCACATTTGTGCACTGCCCAAATTATTACGACGCGACCCGCATATCAATCTTTTGTTTAAAATGTAGGGATCCTGCATAAAGAATGTGACGTATGTAAGTCAGAGTTGTTGTATTTAAATACTTCGGTATTTAAGATCAGTATTTAATTACCGGGTTTGGGTATTTACTATTTATTATTTAAAATCTAAATACTGAATTTCAAGTATTTAGCATTTATTATTTAAATACCTGAGCATATAAAATGTATTTAACTAATTTGTATTTAAATACTTTAAATACTGCAGGTAATTAAAAATTAATTATTTAAATACTAATTTTCTTTTGCATGATGCAAAACTCGGAATTTGGATGTTGTTAATTACCGAATTCATAGCATTCATTTGGTGTTCTGAGGTATAGATTAATTTTATTAGGGCAAAATCAAGCAGATTATTACAGCCCGTGTTTCATAATATTTGAAAATTGATCAAACATGCGTGAAAATTTTAGTTAAATTGAAAATTTAAAGAAATTATTTGTGTTTTATCTTTTTTAAGCTTCTTCACATTGGTTACTCATTTTCAGCTTGTAATACAAATTATTAATTCCACATATCTCTTCTTAATCTAATTTTCACAAACATGAATTTTGTTCATTCATTCATTCACAAGCACTCAATTTGTTTGTTGACGATTTTGCTTGAGAGTCTAAACTATTAAGAGTTGGATATTCAGATGCTAACACTATTTAAATACTATTTAAAGAGTATTTAAATAACCGGTACTTAAATACTTTAGATATATCCAGGTATTTAAGTAATTGAGTATTTAAATATCTTGTTACAATTACAGTATTTAAGTATTTAGTACTTAAATACTGTAATTATTACCTGGTTGAGTGACTTTACCGGATTATTGAGAGTGTAACTTTATAACAAGTCCCCAAGTCACCCTTGAGGATATATGTACATACAAAAATAATTTTGGCACACTGTAAATCTAAGTTGTGTGATATTTTTACGAATGGTTGAGTAAAAAAGTGGATGACACAACAATTGAGCAAAATTTATCCAACTCTAAATAAAAGTTTTGTAAACTTTTACTTAGAGTGTAGACAAAAATCATGGAAATGATTGAAAATCATAGCACAAAATGACAAGTCGTTCCTGCATAAATATACCAGCATTTATAATTCCACCCCCACCCAAATCCACATAGTGAGGAGCAATGGTCTCAAAAATTCCGTATTAACCAAGAAACGGTGCAGATGCTATATTTTTGAACTTTTAAATATTTATTTAATATGTACAATGTAATTAAAATTAATTATATAGATATTTATTTATCAGAATTAAATAATTCTGATCATTGATCAGTGATCAATAACATTAGTTTTGCTTATTGCTAAATATGTTTGAGCTCTTAAGGGTAGGATGACGAACTTAGCAACAAATTTTTACCCCAACTTCCAACCTGATTTTCTTAGCTGAATGAAGTGATACAATTTTTCTGATTTCATGTATTTAATGATAGATTATTTAGCTTCGTATGTTCAATTCACTCTAGTGCATTGAACCAGTACTACTTGAGATAAGTCAATTTTAGTGAACTACAATTTAATTTACTGGGGTAACGTTCTAGGTCTCAATATTGCAGATATTGACTTCAAGCCAATTTTATTGTGCAGCTAATATGCTGGTGGGGCGGGAGTGATATGGGTCTTTCCGGTGATGTTGATCCCTTCATCCTGAAATTCCGCTTTTAAAATAAAATTTGCATATTTTTCATGCAAAATTTTAGATTGCCGTAATTTGTGCACGCCAAGGACAGAATCGTCGGAAAGACCTATATCACTCCCGCCCCACCAGCAAATTAGCTGCACGGTAAAATTGGTTTGAGGTCAATATCTGCAATATTGAGACCTAGAACGTTACCACAGTAAATTAAATTGTAGTTCACTAAAATTGACTTATCTCAAGTAGTACTGGTTCAATACACTAGAGTGAATTTAGCATATGAAGCCAAATAATTTACCATTAAGTACATAAAATCAGAATAATTCTACCACTTCATTCAGCTTAGAAAATCAGGTGGGAAGTTGGGGTAAAAGTTTGTTGCTAAGTTCGTCATCCTACCCTTAAACACACTACTAAAGCATATAACAAAAATTTAAATTAAAGTGATCTTAAATCGATTTCGTAAATATTCATTGCTAGAATTAAAAATTACTTAGGTCACACTACAAGTGACACTTTCTCTTATGAACACACAAATCTCCTCTTAACCTGAACGAGTTATGACAAAGTTTGCACCCAAAATGCAACTCTTTCGTGTGAATGGTCAAATGAGTTTGCATATCACAGCACATTTTTCCACAAAAGTAGCAACTGGTTGCTTCACAGTGAACAAATCGCACATGTCCGATTAACGAGGTGTGATTAACAGACTTGAAATTGCATAACTTACACCGATACGGAATTTCCTTGGTATGCATTTTTCTCACGTGGGTCTGAAGGCCGTCACTAAATCGATAGCAAAAATAGCACGCATACTTATAAACATTTGCATGAACGGCGTTCACGTGATCCCTTAAGGAATATATTTTTGCGTATGTTGCTCCACACGTGGAACAGGAATATCTAGTCCGATCAGGGTTATGCGTTTCCTGGAAAATTTGAAGAAAATTTAGTAAGGGAAATCTTTCAGATTCGAACTTCTAAAATTTCTTACCTCATGGTTTTTGATGTGAGCCCGAGAAATTGAGGTTTGCTCACATTTTCCGCACTTAAAGTGGGGCAGTGTTTCTTTGTGATGATGTACCACGTGGGTCCTTAGCAATTTGTAGGATGCAGTTTCCACTCCGCAAATTTTACAAGGGTACGGTTTCTCATTCGTGTGTTCGGCCCGGATGTGATTTTGCAACATTTTCTGTGACGATAGACGAAGCTTGCATAAGCCACACCGGAATGAATCAGGATCGTGAGTTTGAGTAATGTGCGTCTCCAAGGTTGTCTTTGTCAGATATGTGTCCTCACAGTGAGGACACTGCAAACTTTTCCGCGTGATGTGATGATTCATCTGGGAAAGTTTGGTCAAACAAAAAATTAGTGCTGTCCATGAGCTCGAGCTAGCTCGGCTCGTGAGGAGCGAGCCGAGCTAGGCGAAAAGGCACTATTAACCGCTTAACCAGTTGCCTCCCAAGCACATGAATGTCATGTGGCGCACAAGCCGTCGCCAAGGGCCCAAGTACATCAAAGTCATGTACTCCTTGAACGGTAACCATGCGCCCAAATACATCAATGTCGTGTACTCCGACTGCGGTAACCATGCGCCCAAGTACATCAATGTCATGTAATTCCAAAAACACAATTTTCCGCCCGAGCACATCAACGTCGTGTATTTAAAAAAAAATCCGTAAAAATTTCTAAATAGCTTTAGTTTGTTTGGAGCTTGTATATTACAATTGCTTAGATCTTCAAGCATGTCAGGTAAGTATTTATCATCAACAAGCATATATATAAATATATATCCTATATTCTCACACTTGAAAATACGTGCAGACAGTGAAGACGTCGAATTTTCTCTCGGCCAGTTCTCAGATTGCGACTCCGATGAGGACTTCTTGCGACACGAACACAACGACGATGATGACGAGAACCTGGTAACCTTTCCGGAAGATGAAGATGAAGAAGGCGCGGATGTGGATTCTGAAACCGAGTTGGGTGACCCCAATGAATACCCCGATGTACGTATATTATTTTTACATATGTATATTACTAAATAATTGTATTTTCCCCTCATTGATTCGTATTTCAGACCAATGTTATACGCTATCGTAAAAATGTCCCATTTACACCACAAGTTAGTGATTATGAGGATCCAGGGGAATTTCTAAAGCCGGATTTTTGGGTCACGATGGAATTTACTGCTCTAGAGATTCTACAAAAATTCTTGGACCCCGAAATTTTGGATGAAATCGTCCTTCAGACAAACATGTATGTTCAATACCTAAAACGCGCGGATCGGAACACAATGAAGGATTGGACTGTGGTGAATGGTGAAGAAATGTGGCAATTCTTTGCCCTGGCGCTGATGATGGGGCTCATTATCAAACCGGAAATAAAGGATTATTGGTCTACTGATTCGATGTTTTGTACCCCATTTTTCGGTCAGGTCATGTCAAGGAATAGGTATATAACAATAAAATACAATGAATATTTATGTACACTACTTATCCTACCTATTTGCCTACTAGATTTGAGTCAATTCTTCGTGGATTCCATCTTGTGAATAATGACACCATCCCACCAAACAATAAGGATCGGTATATAAAGTTTGGGAGTTTTATAGACAAGTTATTTCAAAATTTCCGCAAAGCAATAAATCTGGGATCATTTCTCACTGTGGATGAAACTTTGCTCTCGTTCAAAGGGAGGTTATCATTCAAGCAATATCTAAAAGATAAGAGAGCCAGATTTGGAATGAAGCTCTATCTCCTCTGCGATTCGGCTAGCAGATTCGTGCTCAAAGTTCTCCCGTACCAAGGAAGAACGGCCAAAATAGAGAATTCAAGCTGGATTCAAGAACTTGGATTCGGTGGGGCTACAGTGATGACTCTTCTTCGTGGCTATTTTAATAAATTTCATAGAATCACCCTCGACAATTGGTTCGTGTCTCCGACCTTGGCAATGCGATTGAAGCAACTTGGTACATACATTCTTGGGACGGTGCAGAAAAGAAGAAAACTGATGCCGAGATGGACGGACAAATTAGCAAAGGGACAAGTTGCTACTTATTCTTCCTCTGACATTTTAGTGGAACGGTAAGCTTGTGCAGAGTTTACCAATAAACACAATACAATAATATGAACGTCAAATTTCAACAGAATGACATGAATAATTTCATTTTATGATTTTTAGGTGGTCGGACCGGAGAGAAGTGATTATGTTGAACACATTTATGGGACACCGAATGGAAGAAATCACTACCACAAACCCCATCAACAACCGAGAGAAACCATCAACTGTTCTCGTTTATAATGCGACAATGGGCGCTGTGGATAACGTCGACAGAGTCACTAAGCCCTTCACATCTGTCCGCAAATCCTTCAAATGGTACAAGAAAATATTCTTCTACTTCGTGGACATAGCAATTTACAATTCGCACATCATTCACTCTTCTTTCCGGCCAACGAAGGAACACTCAAGTTATAAGGATTTTGTACGAATTATAATCAAACAAATATTAGAAAAATATCCACCACAACGTCGATCATTGGGGAGGAAGTCGAACACCCAGTTAGAGCGGCGAATCGGCACCCACCTTCCAGAAAAGATTCTAAAAGACGATGTCTCGGTCTTCCGGGACTGTCACCTCTGCGGTTTGGAAGGAAGAAGGTGCACCACAGCTTTCAGGTGTGAAAAATGTCTGAAATTTTTCTGCATCAAGAGCCAAGACTCGTGTTTCAAGAGATTCCATACACTTCCGAAACTACCTGTTAAAAGGAAATATGCTTCCGCTACTGCATCTTCAACAACGACCAGTCAAAGCCTCATGGACCAATCAGTACCTAGGTCAACTAATTCTGAAATTGGATCAGGATTCGGTGAAGCGAATGAAGCGAGATTTCAGGAAGCGAATTTTGAATCAAATGTTGAAGGAATGGAGGAAGAAGAACTGTTTTGTATTTAAAATGTGAAATTAATTGTGATTGTGTGAAAATATTTTGCCGAACTATGAATAAGTTTGTGAAATTTTATAATTCGTGATTTATAGTTGGTTTGCCGAGTTTTTCCGGCCTATATTCGAATTGACTATCATGATGTTGTATGGTGTTTTATTGTGAAAAAAATTGCTTCGCGGCATAAGTAATGATAATTAAAACGATTTCCACTTATCATATTATCAGTATCACCCTTGCATTAATTTGGGCTACAGCGAACTTGTCAGCATTTCATATCTTGGGTCGCAGTGAAAATGCTTCTCCAAGAAAAGTGGTACAAAACTCACGAAATTCAAAGGCTTATCTTGGGGGCTTAGCAACTATTTTATGGCTTCAAATGTGGCAGGCAACTGGTTAACGGCGAAGTACACATATTTGTGTAGTATTTATTTTTCCGTTGACGACGAAATACACAAATGCATTTACCGCAAAAATTTCTTTGACATCAAAGTTTTTCAAAAAAAAGAATATTTCTTCGGTGTTTTCTGGAAAACTCGATGGTGAAAAGTGGCTGTTTTTCGATATTTTTCTCCTAAAATTTTGGAATTTTCCCTATACCTACCAATGTTAAAAAGTGGATTTTTCGTGTTTTTTGACAAAAACTCGAATATTGGAAACTGGTGGAAGATTTTAATTGGTAGCTATCAGGTATAATTATGAAATCAAAATCGTACCGAAGCGAAATTTTATTTAAAAATTTATAGTCACAAAGAGGTTAATAATCGAGCGAACCAAGTTTCTTAATAAACGAGTTGAACTATATGAGTGGCTCGCGAGCTGGCTCGGCTCTCTTAAACGTATACTTAAAACAAAACGGTGTCAATATATGACTTAACCGCCTTGGTTACAATTGTGATTCCGAGTAGCAATGAATTTTTTCCGTCCGGTCATAACATTATAACTACCGGTATCAAAATCATCATAACTCGGATTCAACATTGTAACCAAGGCGGTTAAGTCATATACAGGATGAATCGGTAACACGTGAAAGCGGGCGATCTTGAATTGCTCCGAAACGGGTTGGAGTTTCGGTTCCAAATTTTGAGCATAACGACATGTGATTGTTGACAAGGGCTGAGCAAACAATTAGCTCTCTAGATTCAAAAATGACCCGACCATTGACCTTAGAGTAAGAGGGTACCATAAAAACACTTTCCAAACTTAATTCTTCGTACACATACATAAGTAACCACTTCAAAACTCAAGGACAACAAGTTTCGAAAGGCCAGATACATAAGGTACTTAAAAATGAAGGTCAATAACGACAAGCTCGTACCGAAGGAAAACCATCATGCCTCAAACACGAGTCCGAAAAGTGCTAATTAGGCCCGTGCTTAAGAAAATTGACCTATTGACCTCTAAGGGCAACTCACCACCCCAGAGAGCAGTGGCACGTCTAACCAAAGTGTCAGAGACTAGTGTGCGTCGAGCAATTAAAATTTTGGGGCAGCCAAAAAGAAGAAAAATCCAAGTCAATCAGCTGACTGGGAAGCATAAAAAAAATAGTCGTCTGACCTGCAAAAAAAATTTATGTGAATTACCTGACAAAAGATAAAAGTGGCTTTTTAGTGTCGTTGGATGAAGAATTATTTTCCTTACAAGATACCAACAGTCAGAGAAAAATTTACTATACAACCAAAGGAGAAAATAATTCCAGAAGATTGGCCATCCCGCACACGGAAAACTTTTGCAACAAGTTCATGGTGGTAGGTGCATTATCTGATCGTGGTGTCCTCCCACTTATCAAAGTTCCACAAAAAGTGAAGGTAACTACGAAGTACTATATTGACTTTGTTTTAAAACCGCTTTTGGAGATTTATGTCTCAAAACTAAATGGCCAGGACACCATAAAAGTGATAGTTCATCACGACGCAGCGTCATCGCACACCGCCCTTTTGACCCAGGATTACGCCAAGGACTTAAAAGCTAGACTCGGGATAACAATCATCCAGGATAGTGAAATACCTATTAAGTCACCCTATGTAAGTCCCATGGATTTTTTCGGCTTTGGATATCTGAAATAAAATCTTTTCTCCGCCACCCAAAAACTTTTGACGGAGTTTGGAAAGTTTTGAGAGACGAGTGGTCAAAAGTTGACCTCGCCATGGTCAAATCAGTGTACAAAAGTTGAAATCACCGATGCCGACTTGTAGCTCGAGAAAAGGGCTTTCACATAAAAAATGTTCGGGACCTCCACTCCAAGCCGTTCAACCAGTAATTGAAGGTCAAAAACGTTCACGTGTTAACGATTCAACCTCGGTACTGACACCGGCGGTGTTGATTCGACAAATTTTTATTTTGAGTGTACATAATTTTCTACTACATTCCGGCATTCTAATGCATTCCTCTTAACAATCATATTGCTTATCTTAAAATTCTTACCAAATGCTGATACCTTAATCCAGTACTTTTGAACGTCTCGGTGTATTGCGAACAACTGTATGGCTTCTCGTTCGTATGCACTCGCACATGACGAGCCAAATATTGCCAAGAAACAAAGTCTTTTGGGCAGAAGTAACACTTAAATTTCCTCTCGCGTGTCGTATGCCTCACCCTGAAATGGACTCGCATCCCCTGTTCGGTTCCAAAGGTGGCGCTACAACTTGAAAATGTGCATGTAAAACGGTCTCGATCCTGCAGCAAAGTGTGAAATCGTTGCACATGGCTTTTTAACGTGACAGAATGCATGAACGTTTCTGGACAATGGGAACACGCGAGGTTTTTCCATTTGGATTCATCCAGGTTCGTCTTTTCATGACGGTTTCGGTCTCCCACAGTTTTAAACTTGGCAGGACACAAGGGGCACTCGAAGACGCGGGATACTGAGTCATCCATGTGCTGAGTACGAATGTGTCGTCTCATATTGCTCGCTTGCAAGAAAGTGCTGGAACAGTGGGGGCATGCGTGGGGCCATTCATTGGTATGGGTGCGGGCATGCAATTTTAATAAAGCCCGCGTCGAGAGGGTGACCCCACTGGCGGGAACGTCACATTTAAATCGGGACCCGTTCTTGTGCATTTCCAAATGAGATTTTAAGCTGACCTGGACAAGGAACACTTTGTCGCAATGGGGACAAGGAAACTTGTCGCAGTCGGAGGGGGCAAGGTGAGATTGTGCATGGCGACGGAAATTCTGTAGAGTGCTTGCTTTATGTTGGCAGCCTGGATGGCTGCAAGGGAATTTTTTCAATTCGCCGAGGTGATTAAGTAGATGATCATTCTTGTAGCGGATGGATTTAAAAGCTTTCCCGCATAGTTCACATGGGTGGGTGGAGACTATTTTGGAGTGAACTCGGATAGTGTGAGCTTTAAGGCGAGAACCTTCTTGAAATGACGCATCGCACTGGTCACATCTACATATTTGAAGAGATTTTGCTTTTCGTAACTTTTAAAAATTAATTTTAAAAAAATACGAATTTATTTGACAAATTATTAAGTACCTTAAATTTCGTTCCCTTTTTGTATGTCGGTGTTTGATGTGTAGCTTTAACGCTTGGCTGGTTTTAAAACGCTTATCTTCACCACACTTATCACACACAAAGTCACGCACGTTTGTGTGCACCAGGTGTTTATGCATTTTCAAAGTTCCCTTCGCCTTACTTCGATAGCTGCATGTGTCACAGGCGAACGGCTTATCGTCGGAGTGGACAGTTGCCACGTGGCTCTTTAGTGACTTCGCAGACACGAATTTGGTAGTGCAATTTTGGCACGAGTACTTTTTGGGATTGGTGGACGGCACAACCATGTTGTACTTTTAGATGTGGCTGATATTTTAGATACGAATCTATAAATAATGTAGGAGATTAAATTAAAATTTAAAATTTGTACTAATATTTAATTATTATGCAAACAGTGCATATTTACATAAATGTACGCATGTGAAGTGCGAATAATGATGAGTATTATTTGAAAACTTGATTGAATTTAGATTTCTAGCAATATGTATCTACTCACAAAAATAATTTAATATTTTTTTGCAGGATGAAGAAATAAGACTCATTTAGTCAGGTAGTATTTAGTAGTGACATGTTTATTGAGGAGACTTACACCTTCATATATATTTATACGTACACATCGACCCTTTTAAAAATAGGTACGGAAGTAGTCTGGTATGTACGTACAGCACATACATACGAGTGCGCAGCTTGTGTGCAATACAAATAGTGTGCATATCATTCCTTTGGAAATGTGTACAGTATAAATATTTACATAAACACGTATGTACATACGTACATTTGGACAAATTTTGTGTAACACTCACCAAATAAAATGTGTTTTGCAATGTGTAAAATCTTTATAAATAGGCTGCCTTAGGAACTAAATGCAGGTTGGTATGGTCCCTGTTACGAAGTGGTCACGATGAAAAAAGAAAATTTATTTGGGTCTGTATCACCATGACCCTGAAGATCCTGACGCCTATGTACATAGATAATTCTTGACGCTACAGTATCTTCAAATCGCTCATTTTATTCTTGGAAGATAAAATATGTAAATAAGCATTGTAACCAAGAGATGATAATTTTTAAAGCAAATAAGTATGTAAATGTTTTTTTAAATTCCACTCCCGAACAGCGGCCTACCAGAAGGAATCGTACTGTAATGAAAATAATAGTTGATTTCAGTTCCAAATTTACATACACCGGCTCCTAAAGTATAGAAATCTTACTATCATGAAGGACAAAACGGCAATGACTCCTTTAGTCGCAGAGTTTAGGGCCGTAGGAAATACGACCTTGGGACCTCGACCGTCTCCCTCTTCCGCCATCGTTCCCACGGTTTTACCACCCACCAAAATGTCGTACTTGACCATGCTGCTGCATAAGCCGGAACTGAAGCAGCAACCCCCGCAGGCAAGGTCCGTTTGTGGTTGGATGACGACATCTTTCGCGTCGAGGCAATTTGAGACAGTGATTTGTCTCATGTCAAAGCAAGGACAACTGTCTTCGGCCCATTCGATTTTTCCCAAAAGTGTGTCTCCCGACCGGATGTTGCCTTTCTAGAAAAAAATTGTTATACATGGGTAATTTTTGAAAGGAAAATTTGCCGTCTTTCGAAATATTTTGAAATATTTTGAGGAAAGTTACGTAATCGCTTTGAAAGTGGAAATACATACAACGGGAAAAAGAAAATAATAAGCGAAGTAAGACAACTATGGGGGTATTTATTATGAGTTAACGTCGTTAGCGATGTCAGCATGAAAACAATTTGGTAAAAAATGGCTAAGAAATTCATTTGCGAAATTCTTTTTTTTGGTTCGCAAGTATTTTTTCAAAATTATGTTACGATGCAAACTCGTAATGACTACGCCAAATGTTTACATTGGAAGAATTGATAGTAAACAGCATGTTTTTTTTATAAATTTACATGAAGTTTTTGGAAAAATTTGAAATTCTAAATATTATTAATTCAAATATTTTTTAAGTGAATAAGTATGTAAAAAAAATTATAAATTTTGTAATAAATTTAGAAACTGCAACATAAACTTGGATAATCTAAATATTGGATATTTTCGTATTTAAATTTGCAGTTGTAAATACATATTACCAAATCAATCGCTATGAATTCCACGCCACCCTTGTCATAAAGTCCCATTGTGGCCAGATGAATATGCATATTTTCTGCTCCGGGTGGCATACCGGAGACGATAACTTTTTTGCCATAAGAAAATATCTTTTGTTTCTCAGCGTCGACGGCCAGTCGATTGGATGATCCTACGGTCCAGTCAATGAATAAAAATTGTTTAAGCACACTCTAAGAAATGCGGTTACGACTATAACCAGAAAGTAAACATATAAGTATATGACTCTACCGCCACGGTTATAAATTTTGTCACCAACTGGTTAGCAATCCATCATACATAATTCGTAATAAACGTAATACTAGTGGTGATAAATTTATAACCATGGGGGTAGAATCATATATATATACATACATTCTGGTTATAATCGTAACCGCAATACTTTGAGTGTAACCTCATTATAATAAATTATATGCACTCTTAGAAATCTGTTTGAGTCATGTGGGAGAGAATAGTGGAATTTGGTGGTTGCAAAAGAGAGCAAGGATAGGAAGCAGGGAGGTTAGCCTAGTGGTAAGGTGTTCTCCCGGGATGAGAAAGACGTGAGGTTCGATTCCTCACACCACTCTTCCTTCTTATTTTTGCTCTCAACGCGTATGCAATCCTCCGAAAATCCCACAGTCAGATATGTTTTGATTTCCCCGTATTAAAGTTTCTAAAGTTGTTAAAGCCGAGCGGTGTATACCGCTCGGCTATAAAATTGTACCCATTATGGTAAAATTTTACAACCGAGCTATTACTTATCAACACTACTTTGTTCGAGTCATGTATGAATACCGCCTGGTATTATTAATTTAATACTGGATTTCTAAGAGTGTGAATACCTAAATCCATTATGACATACCTGACTTTTTCTTGATGTAAAAAGTGTGAATATTTTCAAGCCCTTTGAGGTTTTCGTCGGTCTTGGTGACATGTGCACCTGGCTGTTTTTCTATGACTTTCTCCATCTTGACAGGCTGCAAGTTGTCGAAATCAAGTGCAATTCAAGAGAGTATTTTATTTTAAAATAAATATACATAAATAAATATGCTTATAAAATAGTCACGTACCTGATTTAAGTAAGTATTTATTAACTTGACTTGTTCGCATCAAATACACAAATATTTATGCGGAATTCGGATAAGGACGAAACCCAATTCGTTGTGAGATTAGATAAGCTACATATGTAATGGTAAATATTTATTTACTATTTATTGTTATGTGCTTTGGTAAGATAAAAATGAATGCATTACTGACAAAAATTAATTAAAAAGTGAGATAGAAGTAATTATTTTTTTGTCGTCAATAAAACAATAATAATCGATCAAGTTAGCCGACCAACGTGCATTAATTGTCCATTGATACATATTTGTCAATGCTAACCCAGCTATTTAATTTTCCTGCTTCGATAGCGCTACAGCTTCATCTTGTACTTTCCATTCGTACGCAGTTGAATTTTTACAGAAATTGAGAATTCTGAGAAACTACGGCACTATCAGTCTCAAAGTCCCCCATATTATGTTGACAGGGTACCTTGAGACTGACAGTGCCATAGTTTCTCAGATTCTGTTGAAGTTCAGCGGTGCGATGTGCGAATGGAGAGTATATCCCGTTTAGCCAAGGTACAGTGAGTTATTTGAAAAAAAATGAATAAATTATTTTAAGGTCTAAAATGGACCCATGTGGGTGGGGAAGCATAAAAATATAGATTATTGTAAGTGGGTCTGGTGTTTGGGGTTTTTTTTATGAAATTTCCAAAAAGTCTCAAATTCCCCCAAAACCACACACACTTCTGTAGAGAATTTAATGCTGGTAAAAAAAGCTATTGTACATACATGCCCCCAACTAATATCATTCTCACGGGAAAAAATAAGACCCCTAGCTGCACAGACCGAGAAATACACGTGCTCGATTGGGGTAAAGTCGTGGCAATCTGGGGTTCGTGTCAAATTCGTGTAAAAGCGATGGGGACGACTCACTCAGTCCTAAGATACCACGTCCGCCCATGATAGGCAAAAATTGTTGTAATTTCTATCATGATTGTTGACCAATAGCTACATTTTAATTGATGTTTAATTAATCATTTTAATTAATTTTTTCCCTTGTAGATTTACAAAAAGCTGGGCTGAAAGAATCAACTGAAGGGGAGCCGATTCCAGGAGGGCTTACCTGATGCTTACCTAAGCTATGCTTAGGTAAGCATCATTTGAAATATGTACATAGATTGATCATATTTTTATTTATCTATGCACTTTCTGCATACGCATGCAATAATAAATTTATTGTTTGCAGCTAATCAGGACAGTACCATAACTGTGAAAGGTACACAACCGGAAGTTATGGGTGGGAATCAAATATCCAACGATAAAGGTGCAGGCACGTCTTCAACAAGCAACGGCGACGCCCAACTCTCCATTATTGGGAACGACAACGAATCACCCGAAGTTGGAATACTTTCCGCTGCGCTGCCCAAAGGAAATTCGATAGGCGCTCAGCAATCATCCTTGGAAGTAGAAAATTTTCTTCCCGGTACATAAAGAACGTTAACTTATTATAAAAATTAGCTAATGTAAACGAGTTATTTGTTTTCATAGGAAATCAATTTCAGAGTTGGGTGGTCAGAAATATCGCAAGCTTAAAAGTTCAGAGTCGTAACATTCAGGACACCTTGGATGCAATATTACTTCATTTGGATGAAGAGAAAAAGCCCCAAGATGAAATTCGTCATCAAATTCCACTGATGAATATGGAGGATGTTAGCAAGGGGGCCGGCTATTATGAGATTTTGGCCAACCGCGAGTCCCTGGTAAATACATTTCAAATATATTATTCGTCTAATCGGATAAAGTAAATTTTCGTATCTACTTCAGGTGACACTTTTAAGGCAGCGTGGTTGTAGTAATGTTGCAAAGTGTACACGCCGCATATTATCAAACCTTCGTGGGGATCAGTTGGCCAACTGTTACAATTGGATCGGGTCAAGAGGAGGAAAATCAGCGTTCTGTGATGTATGGATGAAACAAGTAGTTTTCGGTAAATGTGTTCACGTACTATTTTAAACCTAACGCGTATAATACCTATCTGAAACAACACCACGTTTAATAGTGGAAGGTCACGTTAATTTTTTCTTTGAATATTTTAGATACGGTTCGTCAAAGTTTACCATCAAAGGCAGTGACAGATGACGAGATGGAAGCCGTAATTAAGGAATATTTGAAAGCAGCAGCAAAACGGTTGAAGAAAAATCATTGTGCTGATATGTATGTGAATACAATAACTAAATCCCGTTAAATTTTAAAGTTTATATTCATATTAATCTAACGTGTCAAATCATAGCGCTGGGACAATTTCCGATGGTGGATCAGACTTTATTAATCATGAGGAGTCGGATGACATATAATTTTTAACCATTAATCATTGTTCTCTGTTTGTTATGATTAATTGAAATAATTAAAATGAAATAAAGGCATGTCATGAACGGGAAAAATTGTGGCAATTCTCGGTGTTTATTTAGCGTAAAACACGTGTTTATTTCATGTATAAACACGAAAATTAAACGAGTTTATACCCTAATTATAAACGAGAATAACACGAGTTTTACACGTATTAGTTCTGTCCTAGACACGTGTTATACACGAATTTTACACGAGTCTGACACCGCAAAACGGCGACAATAACCCCCAATATTCACCATCTTTTACACCAAATCTTCACGTGTTAACCACGAAATTTCGTGTCCGCGGACTGGTGTTTTTCCCGTGTATTTCCCGAGTTTGTGCTACCAGGGACGTGGCGAATAAACTGAATTTTTGTCCAAAACGAAAATTTCGACAATTAAAAATAGCTGGCAAATTTTTAAGTCGAAAAAGTAGCAGCCAACGACCTTAAACTACCCTTAATGATGCAACGTTTGGCTTAAAATAAAAAATAAATAAAATAATCCTTTAAAGTCAACAGATATCAGTTAAAAGCAAACTGGTTTCCAATCTATGACTGTCCTTCTCACCATATAACTCTGGTGATGAGTCGGATCTTCACACAGAGAACGGACTCTGCGAGGGCTCCCCTTTCTGGCATTGCCAGACCGTCTGGCCGGGCTCACCCAACCATGAGAGGAGCACCCACCCCGTACTAACACCGAGCCGAGTAGGATTAGCAAATAGCTTCCCGGACAGAGAGGAATCGAACGTGTGACTGCGTGGTGACAGTTCCGCCCCCGAACCCCTAAGCCAAAGGGCTATTGCTTTCTGTGGCTGGCTTTCTGTGGGGTGGCCACTTTAGGAAACCATGACTCAAAGTTGGGCAGAATTAAGATGACGAAAATCAAAAAAATGTGTTGATATGACATACGGAAAAATTTTTATTCTATATAAATGAATTGCATGGATTTTAATTCCGGCGTTTAAAATTATTTACATTCACGGATGCACTGAAAGAGTAAGAGCGTGTAAGCACCTAAGAACGAGTATGTACGTACGATCATTGAGCTAAATTTTGGCCATTAACTAAGATAAAATAAAACCAAGTCATTCTCACTTGATATTGTTACCAGATAGTTGCACAATTGCATTCCCCAGTCGGTCACCTTATTGTACATACATACATAAATGTGTGAACCCACTGTTGACAAGTTTATGCAAACACAACTAAAAATTCACCTGCCCCATCCGAGAAGCTATTAAATTCAATTTAATGGGTTCGATTTAATGAGGATACATACATACATATGTCAATAAAGTTCAAATGACTGAAAAGTCTTCGTCATGATGTAACACGACCTAACTGGTTTTACTACCTCCGTCCACATTTCCTTAAACCCGTCCGGCTTTTAAACGGCTCATGTATGTATGTATGAATAGGTCAAAGAAACCCCTCTTAATGGTCCAACAATTAACCGTAGATCAAGTCTGGTTTATTGGAAAAATGAAGAGAAGTATAATAACCCTTGGACCTAAACAACCATGTAATAAAATCTTCTCAACTTCGTGGTGGATAATTTTACTTTTGCCAACTTTACCCAGTCGCTAGGCAACCGTTGTCATGCAAACATCTCGATGCAAGTAACATGACCCGCATATACATAAGTAGTTATCATCATGCAGCGAATAAAGATTTTACTATATAAGCCACGTTTTGTTAGCCCGAGTAGTTTAGAATTTACAAATTTTGTCATGTGTTTGCACTAAATAGCAAAATTAGCTGAATAATCCGTTGACTTTATTAAAAGTTAAATAATTTAGTGATGCTGGTGAATAATTGTGCAATTATTCTGATCGGTTTGGCGAACTTGGTGATATGTGATGTTAATAAATTGTGGGCGACACGGGAAAGTCGCGTAAGTATCGAATTTTAATTTATAAATTCTTAACGTGCAAATGTTAACTAACGAGTTATTGAATTTTGTGTGTGTTTTAAAGCAAATTCAAGCTGGGAATGGCAGGTTGACTTGCTACTATTGTAATGTGTACCTTAGAGGGGGTCAGAATCCCGGGGGAGGTGTCAGTTTTGGAAACCAACCCGGATACTACCCGCCGAATCCAGTTGCTGGACAGCAACCCGGGTACTACCCGCCGAATCCAGTTGCTGGACAGCAACCCGGGTACTACCCGCCGAATCCAGTTGCTGGACAGCAACCCGGGTACTACCCGCCGAATCCAGGTTTTGGTCAGCAGCCAAGTCAACCAGATGGGAATCGATTTTGGGGAAGATGTCCAATGGGGTCTTTTTATAGTGATCAGACAGAAAAATGCATCAAGTATTCGCTGTACAAAAGTGGTGGCTTTGGGTGATTTATAATTTTAAAAGTTTACTTATGCATGCTCATATGGATGCATATTTACGTGGTAAATTTAAAGCGAAAAAATTGTGCACTCTAATTACTTGCGTTTTTAGTAATAAATCTACAAGCTAAATAAACTGAATTATCTATGTATATAGTAAAGGATACAAAACTATGTAATCCAAATTTATACCAAACTTTGCTAATCATACATATAATTTGTGTCCTAAGGGATTGGTCTATTCACAAATTTTATTCGTATGTTGCATTGAATTTTAGGTGTCGTTTGAAACAGCTCGTACTGATTTTAATCATCGCTTATCAAATTGATAGCCTTAAGGTGGAAATAGTGATACATTAAAATTTACGACTTTATGAAAATTTATAAAAACCTGGTCTAACAAAACATAGAATTTGGTTTTGTTTGGTAAGATATATTTTTTGCATTTATTTAGCTAAGTAATAATAAATTATACCACCTCCAATTTTGATTATGAGGTAATAAATACATAAAGATAAGCATTATGGGAAATTTTTAGACCCCGAAGGTGATCATGACCACGCCATGCGAAAAGAATTCTAAAAATTAATCACAGCCAAGAAGGAAAAAAAATCGAGGAATAACATGTGAATAAATGACTATCAACCAATCACCATGTGGATTCGACCGGATTAGAAACTGCATATATACGTACCTACTATTAATTTGTTGGAGTTTGATAATGTAGATAGATATTTATATTTGTAGTATGATGTAAATATAAGTATATGTAATTTTGACTTTTTAAATTTTTTTAAGATTATTTTTACGAGTTTTTTCGCGAGGTTACGGATTTTTAAAATGTTCGGCTCCTTTGTAGCCAGCTTTTCCCACGTGAATTGTATGACAACGTGCATACATATTTGCAATTTTTAATACGAAGATAAATCGAATGGAGAAAGTGTAATTGTTTTCGGAAAATAAATACACATTGTAATCGGTAACATGAACTTAAACATGTAGGTATGTATATTTTTATATTCATACACGTTTTTGAGTCCAAATAGTACATATGTACATATTTACACTCTTAGCAAAGTGGTGTTGATTCAGTAAAAAAATCAACACAATGAGCAGGACTTGAGTCATCAATTCCGCAATTTTGATAAAATTTTGCACCATTTTAACTCCATGCAGTTATGCTTTATAAAACATAACGGTAATCTCAAATTAACCCAATATTGTAATAAATGTACACCGCCAGGAATTTATTCAGCACAATTTGGAATCAAAATATTAACCCAAAGGCTTCATCAGATTGTGTTAAAATTATGCTGGGAAAGTGTTAGATTTAGTTTTCATTTAGTGTTGTTCCAATTCCAAATTATTACACATCTCTTCCTCAGAGTTACGATAAAAATGACGCAGCAGATTCTACGATAGTCAGGATTTGCAAAGTTCAACATGAACAAGTTAGTTAGAGTGACAAATATGGCGAGAGGGAAAAAATTAATAATTTCCTCTGGAAATTTTGAGGAATTTCTTTTAAACGGTAAGAAAATCCTAGTTGTAAAGTCTATTTTTTATCATAAATCGTCTTAACTTTTATATTTGCCTTCTTATAGTTAAGAGTAAATTTGGTCTAGAGGATGAGACAGACCTTATGTTTGAAGACGAACAAGGAGCCGAGATTGATGAAGAAGTCTTCCCAATTTTAGTTGATCAAGGAACAACTCCCACCATAGTTTTTCGGCTTCAAGAAGAGCAGCATGTAGAAACAAATTTCCCTCAAAATTCCCCATCATGTTCTCAAATATATTACAGTTGGTTATGCAAAATTATATTTTAATTATGATTTCCTAATTAATGATTATTCTTATATTGATAGTAAATAATCCCTTGGCGTCCCCGTCATCGTCAGCTTCGTCTTATTCAAGTTTTAACCCAGATGTGGATTCTTTCAAACAGGTGAAAATAGTTAAGATTAAAAGTATTTGAGTAAGTAATAAATGTGTAATTTACAATTAAAATAAATAAAATACCCATAATTAATATTTTTAGGCGCTGGATGCTCATGTCGAAAGAAACCCTGAATTTAAAGAGCTGATTGAAACCTGTAATTCGGCGAAGCTTGTCGATTCAGTGGCGGCAACAAAATTTGTCAATGAATTTGTTTCTGTCCTTGTTTCATTAAGGGGGTAATTATAAAAAAACAAAATAATTTGGCATATACCTTAAATAATTATAACAACTGGGATCCGGATGTTACTCAGCCTGCATTAATTTACTTTGGGGACAACAAAGCTTCTCCGTCAAATTACTTTTTAATTTGCGACCGACTTGCCATCCCACTTAGTGCAAAGAGTTCCACTCAAGCGATCGACTCCCTTTTCAAGGCTCACTACGTAATCGGAACTAAATATGACAAGAATCTTGACGGATTATGGAAGTTCATACAAGTTCATGTCCTAGATTTGGAGATTAACAACACGAAAATACCAGCAAAAGTTAAACAAGTTTATCAACAACTCTTCAGTATTTCAGCGGACAGCACAAACGGAGACCAACAAATTTAAGGTTAAATTTAGTTACATAGTGGAAGGTTAAAAATGATTGTTTGTCAAATATGCAATAAGTTGTTTAGTCGGCTTGAGGAATTTCAAGTCCACATTAAATATATTCATAATATAGGTAGTGGAAATTTTAAAGGGGCTGTATGTCCATATCAAAATTGTTTAAGTGAGCAGAATACATGGAGTGGATATTTAAGGCATTTAAAGTCCCACAATTTAAATATTGATAATAATGAGACAGTCGAAATTAGCGACGCTTGTATTGAATTAGGAGTAGATGAAATATATAATAATGCAAAGATAGGGACCACCGATGAGATTGATGAAGGGACTGAAGTAGAAAATTTAAATGAAGATGTTTCTGTTGATGCTGGCATAAAGATAATGATAGATATTTTAAGTAGTTTTTGTTCATCTCTCCTAGCTAAGGGGGTAACGAACTCCACAGTAGATTTTGTTGTTCAAGAATTAAAATTTAGTTTCGCTCAAGTAATTAGTTTGGTTTTAAATTTAGGAAGAAAATTTTGTGAGGCTGGTTTTGAGGAATTCAGTTGCTTAACACAAGGTTTAAGGGGAACAATTTTCATCAATAAAATCATCTTATCAAAGACAAAAATTATTTGAGAAAAACTCCCAAATAATTTTGCCGAAAGAAATATCCTTAGGTAGCAGAACTGAATTAAGAGTAAAGGAAAATAAGCGGCAACAAGTAATTGTTTCAGATACATTCATGTATATTCCACTACTTAAAACTTTAAAACAAATTGTTGCTTCTGAAGTGGTCTCAAATTATTTTGCAAACAGCAACAAAATTAATTCCAGCGCTATTGAAATATTTAGTAACACGAACTCTTATAAAAGAAATTTATTCTTCTCAAAATTTCCAGATTCCCTTCAAATTCAACTGTTTTATGACGATTTTGAAACTGTTAACCCTTTGGGTTCAAAACGTGGTATCCATAAAATAGGGGCGTTATATTTTACTTTAAAAAATTTGCCAGATTATTTAAATTCAAAATTAAGTCAAATTTACTTACTTGCTTTATTTTAAACAGAAGATGCTAAAAAGTATGGAATTGGCGAAATCTTAAAACTAGTTATTCGAGACGTTAAAATATTGGAAATCGATGGAATTCAAACAAATGAAACTGAGACAATGTATGGAACAATATGCAGCTTATCTTGCGACTATTTAGGTATTAACTCTTTGTTAGGCATGACAGAATCTTTCAATTCTCATAATTTTTGTAGAATTTGTTGTACCACAAAATTTAATGATTCTTAGGGATAGAATCATTGATAGAATCATAGTTAGAGGAGCAGCAGCAGCAGCTGGACGTGTGCTCATTCGCTCTCTCTTGATTATTTCTTGTTTTTGATTTTTTGGAAGTTTTTTGACACCCCCAACTACACAAATTGTGTCAACCCCTCCTAATCATTCCCACTTGGGAAGTGGTAGATGAAGGACCTCTACTCGACCGTGTGACCGTGTTTGGAGATGTGTCATTTTCCTTCATACAACTGGACTCCCCTGTGCCTGCCGAAATAGACTGATCCGGATCTAAATATCCGCTTCCTGCCAGGATCTCTCTCTCTATAACTTTTCGTCTGGGGGGAGTTGGACCCTTTAAGACGCGCTCTGAGGGTACTCCTCTCTTTTGCACTATAAAGTGCCGAACGCGGCAAGTTTACGACCTTACACTTTTGACCCTATAAATATTGTTGCTATTTTCAATATTCTGGTTAATCTCGTGTAACTTTTCCTCTGTATGTAACATGTCGACCTGGAACCATGCAATATGAAACACATTTGAATATCAAGAATTCATCTTCTAATGGAAATGACGGCCCCACCATGTCAGTCGAGGATTTCATTCTTCAAGCCGAGCCCGAGACAAATGTAATAATTCTGGACGGGAAATTAGATCAACAAAAATACCGTACGGTCTATTTCAAGTTAGATTACATAAATTGGGATGACGATGAATCACTCGGTCCAGTCTGCTATCTATGCGAAGAAATCATTGAGGACATCACGGATTCGCTTATAAATAAAGGAACAACTTACTCTATTGTCCTCAAGGACCATTTCAACTTGGATGACACGAATAAATGTGCCCTTCAATGCGTACATTGTTTAAATTTTTACCACAAAAATAAGTGTAACATTTCCATTTCCAATCAATCATATCTCAATATTTTACTTTCTAAAAATTGGACTTGTCCGAGATGTGTGCCTTCATTTGTAATTAAGGGAAAAGTTGATGTGGTAACTATAAATTATGACAAGCTATTATTGAAATTAGTGAGAATATTGAACCACTTATGTTATCAAGATACCTTTAAGCTGGATATTACCACCTTTCTTATGGAAATTCAAGTTTCATTTAACAAACTTTTTGATAACTTCGGTATTGGATAATTTGTAATTTATTAATTGACTCGTTTTATCGGTTTTGATTTGGAATATAATGGATATTAACTGTTGGTGTTATGAGATGGTTACTCTATGGAATTGTATTTTGTTTATGATTATGATCACTTGCTTATATATATTTACTCGTTTTTTTCTTTTTTTCTAAAGTTGTTTATTTTATAATGTCACTTGTGGAAGAGCATGGTTTGTAACTGTGAACTTGTTAGACATTCGAATAAAGCATCAATCAATCAATCAATCAATCAAGAAATAATTACGCGAAACATTTACATGACAAGACTTTTGGTGTCCAGTCAGCCTGTGCACTTGATGAGTTGAAATATTTCGATTTTCTCAAGTCCCCCAGTGTAGATATTATGCACGATTTATTAGAGGGGGTCGTGCCCTATGAAATTAAGTTAGTTTTGCAAAAGCTCATCTCATTACGATGTTGTACTTTGGAAATAGTCAACCAAAGGATAATTACTCATAATTTCGGTAATTTGGAAAGTAAAAACCGTCCAAGTCCAATTCGTTTAGATACAGGTAATAGAATTGGGCAAAAAGCTGCACAAGCTTGGTGCTTAATCAGGCATTTGCCTGTAATTCTTGGAGATTTAATTTTAGATGAGGAGCATAAAAAATATTGGGAACTTTTACTTCAACTTTTGGAGATTTTGAGTCTTGCATTTTGTAGGAAATTCTCTCAGGCGAGTTTGCAGCTTCTGAATGACAGAGTTATAGCGCATCATAAACTATTTCGTGAAATATTTCAAAATGAAAGGCTTATTCCGAAGCATCATTTTATGACTCATTATTCTTATGTTATAAAACAAACGGGTCCTTTAGTGTCGCAGTGGACAATGAGATATGAAGCAAAACATTATTATTTTACTCAACTAGCTTCGCAAATTAAAAATTTTAAAAACATCTGCCTTTCTCTAGCTATGCGGCATCAACAATTCATGTCACATTGTTTACATTCCCGTGATAAGAGTCCCGATTTAAAAACAGATTATATT